AAAATCATGTTGTTTGTAAAGAGTCAATGGTAAAACAATGGTATCATCTCCATCCATAAAAGCCTCATATGGAAAAGAATCTTCATTCATATCATTTGTTAATAACATCCCCCCATGAGCACTAGGAAGAAGTATAAATGCACTTATAAAGGCTTCTAATGTCATGAGTGTATTTTTCATTCTTGTACACCAATCCTCAATCATAATAGAAAAGGGTTGTTGAAGACATGGAAGAGTTGCATAACGAGTTTCTTTCGGTTGAACGACAAAGGAATCCATAAAAGGATTATTACTACTATTACTAATATTAATATTACTAGTATTAGTATTACTAGTATTAGTAGTATTATTAACTGAGAAAGAGATTGGGTATTGTGATAACTCATTCTTTACTTGTACAGATGTTGTAATATTCACTACCCGCTCCATCTCATCTAACCGCATAACGACATCCAATACACCAATAGAAGCACCTAAAAGTGGAAATCGATAAGTAGATCCATGCTGTAAAACAGATAAATCAATTTCTGTTCCTACTGAACCAAGACCTTTACGATGTCTCGCTATACTTTCCTTTCCATCAGGGATAATACAAAATCGAGTTTGATTATATTTTAATAAATTTGTTTTTACTAATTCTCCAGTAGGTAACATACACAAGGAATTCGATTCCTCCTGACCCTCACGTTTTCCACTATTATTATTATTATTATTATTATTTTTATTATTACTCACAGCAGAAAGGAAAAGAAGAACTCCTGTACTATTCCTAAAGGCATAGGCCCCACTATTATTATTATTATTATTATTATTATTATTATTATTATTATTATTATTATTACTAGTGGAACCATTTTTACTCTCTTGTAATGCTGTTCGAAAACGAAGTAGACGTAGTGATGTAATTAATGGAATAGTAACAGAAGCTTCAGGACAATTTAATGCACCTTGTAGAGAAAATCCATTACCTTTATATCGTGCATACTCTAATGCTAATTCTGGAGCAATGAGGAGAATATCTCGTGGGGATTCTTCTGATTGTGGATAATCCGTTACCCGTACAGTAGTAGAAGCTGTACATGTTAAATGATTAAAACTACGATGTCCTTTTGCTAAAATAGCATTATTACTCAATACAACTGAAACTTCAGGTTTATAAAAATCATTTGTTAAAGTAACTTCTATCCATGGTGCAGAAACACCAAATTCAATTAAAGGTGCCACTTCATCTTCTCGTGACCAAACAAGTGAAGGTTCATGATAAGAAATTTCTCTTGTATGTATATTATGTATATAGTGATTTGATCGGAAAGAATTACGTCCATCTTTATCAGGAGTTGTATCTAATCCTGTACTCATCTCTATAGTAGAACCTATATGATCGGATCCTTGTCGTAATTCATTAAAAGTATCATAAAGTAATCTTATATTACTTAAAGAAAGTGTAAAACTTGTTATTGGTACAATAGCCCGTACAGTTGTCATTCCACTTGTATGAGAAGAAGAAGAAGTATCTTCATTAAATTTATGATGTTTAACATTTACTACAAGACCTGTTAAATCTTTTGTAATAGAACCATTATCACATAAAATAGAAACTTTAGATAATGCTACTTCTCCACATTCATCAATAAAGTCTCGTACACCTTTACCACCTTCAAAACAATTTTTTTCAATTTTATATCGTGCATATGCCTCACCAGAGACAGCAATGGTTTGATGTTTTGTCCATAATCGTAAAGATATATCTGTATTCACATCTATACTCACTTTAAGATTATACCAACGTGCTGTTCGTATAGGGAATTCCTTTGAATTATGTACAGGCACTAAAGGAGTATGATGAGATGTTATTCTAATATCAGACTCTGTTAAAGGGGCAATGAAAAGAGAACGTTCACCCAAGATTACATAATCCAGAATTTTACCAGAATCTACTATAAAAGGAACTCCTTCACATACAACAGTTAAACCAGAATCTACTATAATAGGTGGTGATAACGTTCCATCTGTATTTGATAAAAATGAAAGAAATACTTTAGCATCATTTACTCCTTTTAATGTAATCTTATTTATTGGATTTATACTCTCAATAGTACTTTTTGCAAAATGTAAACGTGAACCCCGACGTCCACCTAATGTAAGATCTGTATGAAGACATAAATCAGATGTAATGGTAATAAGTCTATCATGTGTATCTACAAAAGAAGAATTATAACTACGAATAGGTGTAATCTCACGTAAATGACGAGATGCCATCCAAGAAGAAGAAGTATTAGTATTATTAGTACTTGTTCGAGTTTTATTTACACCTGAAGCTACATACATCAATACATGTTCATTTAATGTACGTAATAATTGTGGTGAAACTGTTAATTTCACTGCATGGGCTCGAGCCACTACATTTACTAATCTTGTTGGTAATTGTTCAAGTGTTCCCACACCTTCTTCAGAAATATTAGAAGAAGAGAATTCAGAATCTACACTCGTAGATAATACTTCTTTACAGAAATATAAAGCCCACATAGAAGGTTCATCCATAGCCCCAGATGGAGGATATGAAGAGAGAAATTCTTTTTGAATAGAAGGATCCACTGTACTCGTAATAGTAGAAACCCGAGCAAGCGTTTTTTCATTTACACCATTACGACTTTGTTCAAAGGATACATTACAGAAACTCACACCAAATAAAATTGTAGGATTTTTAACTAACGCCTCCTCATCTGATTGCGCAGCACAAACATTTAATGAAAGTAATGGTACACTAAATACCATCTTATCACTAATTCGAAGTGTTGTTAATGGTATAGTATTAGTATTATTATTAGTATTATCATTATTTAATTCTGTGAGGGAGTATCCGAGTACGGGTAATATGGCCTGAGCAACTGCCTCTACACAACACTGCAGAATATCTCCAAGCGGCATAAAAGCTTCTAGAGATCCAAGGCGAATAACAACTTCACGGGTTCGCGCTACAAGATTTTCCTCTAAAATATATGCAAAACAAATATTATTTACAAATGGAGGAAGTAAACCTTGTGGACGTCGACAACGAATAAATCCCTTTTCCGTTTCAAAAGATAAACTTTTCCCAGTTGTACTCCCTATTTGTTTAACCACCACAACAGGAAATACAACCTCCACACTCACTCCAACTGATACTGAAGATGATTGGAAAAAACATATTCGAAAATCCATAAGTGTTATTATCACAGATTGTTTAAATCCATCTTCATTCTTTTTGGAATAGGTAAAATGATGTGTAATGTAGTTATATAATGCCTCTCCTGTTTCTAATAAATCCCTATAGAAACACATATCATAATTATTTACAATAAATTGTTTAGATCGAATGTTTACTTGTCCAACATCAAATGTAACATCTAAATCCGAAAGAAAAACAAACTCATCTTGTGTATCCACTTGTTGAAGGGAAATACTATCCACAATAAAATTATATGGAATCGTCTCACTATGACTCTTCTTAACAACATCATCCCAACTTAGACGAGCTTCCATACCTCGTGCTTCTAGAATAGCGATATGTTCTAACATAAATGCAAATAAACCTATACGAATACTTAAGGTAGTATGTTTTTCTTGTTCAGATACATCATGTTGTTGTTGCTGTTGTTGTAATACCATCTCCATACTTTCTTCACTCTTCATTAAAGGACTTGAACTTCTGGTAAGAATTCCTTCACGATATAATAAACCAATAAAGTTATGTATTCGCAAAACAAAATCTACAGTTTGTGGATGAAGTGATAGAGTAATTCCATGAGATTCCACTCGTATTTTACGCTCTTTTAAAGTATCCACTAATTCAATTTGTAATCCTACATCAGATGGAGCATGTACATAAGGTTTACTTTCTCTTCCTTCCATTATAGATCTTCTTCTGTTTTTCCCTGTTGTTCTTCCTGTTCTTGTTGTTACTTCATCACGTCTAAAGAGAACAACAGTACCTTTACCGTCAAGTAATTCAAATTCTCCCTTCACTACCAAATGTGCTCGCATTTGAATTTCTTCTCGTTCATCAAAAGAGGCAACAAGTGTGATAACGCCAAGAAATCGAATCTCTGCAAGGGTATTACCAATGATACCTTTATTACCCGTTAACATATAACCACTCTCTACTAAACGAAATGCGAGACGTGGAAGATCTACTTTCACTACAGATTTTGTACAGAAACTCCTTTCTCCTCCTCTTTCATCTTGTTGTTTAACTTCAGGAAATGGGGCATAATAAAGTGGTATATCTTTAGAAGGAATGGCGAATGGAATAGCCCGAAGTGCATCCCGTACATGTAATGCAGATACAGAAAAACAAGTTTCTTCTTCTGTTTGTATATGAATACATTTTGAAAGAAGTGAAGAAGTAAACACAGGTAATGCGGCAGGTGTTAGAAAACTATATCTAGATTGTACATATGCACGATCATCTGGCATAACAGAAACACTTGAACACCATTCTGTATAGATAGTTCCTGGTATAGGTATTTCTGCACGTAGAATGGTATTTGGTAATGCCAATGGAAATAATGGTTCACATGCAATAATAGCCCCAATCACATGTATGGTATAAACATTAGAGAAACAATACATGGAATCTATTCCAGCAGATGAGGTACTACTCACAAGTGTATCCACACACTCATTCTTTATCTCTACAGTATTTACAGTAAAACCCCAACTAGAGGATTCAGAAACTCCAATATATGGAAGAATCATTTCTACATCTCGAAGTATCACATGTATAGAGGATACAGATGTATTAGGTATTAGAATTTCACTGGCCGAGGAAGAAGATGATGATGATGATGAGAACAAAGTAGTATATGCATTAGCTTCAGCTAACATAAATTGTGATAAACGTGTGAGATAATCCATATGAAGATATAATTTCATAGAGTGTAGTTCCATTTCCACATGATTGGAATAAGAAACTTTTGGTTTACTTTCATATTGTGTTCCAAATTGATATTTTATTTCTTTACTTTCATCATCTCCTTCTTTTTGCGTAAGCGTAATATGAAGATATATTGGTTTTGTCTCATTTATTGTGGGTTCCCAGTGTAAAATAGATTCCTGCGGTAAATCTCCAAAACACGGTATAAGAGATATAGGTTTATCTACTAAAAGCTCCAATTTCTTTTCCCCACAGTTCTGTTGTTGAATAAATGACATGGAATGAATAGAGAGAATAGCTAAAGGCTCTTCCCATGCTTCTTCAAAGTAAATATGAACATTACGAAGTGTTACAATCATAGAAGATTGAGTTAATGATACTGTCTTATTCTCTTTATCAATCTTCTTATTACTTGTACTCACTTTATTATTATTATTATTATTATTATTATTATTATTATTATTATTATTATCCATATTATCATTATAATGACTATTCCTACAGCTCCTGATCTTATTATGATTGAATTCATCCAAAAAAGAAGCGGGATCACCATTCATCAGAATGTTCAGGAATGCCACCCAAGAAGAATGAATAGGATATAATTTCACATCATCCAAAACAAAATCATTTGTAGTCATCATAGTAGTAGTAGTAGTAGTAGTAGTAGTAGTAGTAGTAGTAGTAATTTCAGTAGAATTATTTGCATTCAATGGTGATTCCAATAAAAATAAACCACCACTTTCCACTTCTAATAATCTTTTTTTCTCTTGTTGAAATTCTCCTCGTGTGGGAGTTATTTGTTCCCATCGTGGTATACCACATTCTATCATACGACGTGTTGGACTAATATCATCAATAGTAATTCCCTTTAAATGCATTACTTTTCTCGATATCTTTTCACCATTGTTTTGAAAGGAATATACTTGTAATTGGGCACGTGCTACAAATACATCCTGTTCATTAATAAATACAAAACGAGCTGAAGAAACTGTAATAAGCATAGACATTGTAGAGGAACTTTTCAATGATGTAGATTCCACACAACTGGTATCTTTTAATGGTGTATTCGTATACGATATATTTAGAAAGAGTGCTTGAAGAAGTGAATGTACCACATTCATAGTAAGTTTCATATTAATAGCAGCATCTGTTGGTATATCCTCATTACCCATAAAAGAATGAATGATATTATTATTATTATTATTATTATTATCATTATTATTACTATTCGGAGATGAAGAGGAAATATTAAAATGAACGGCCATATCATGACTCTTACTCTTTACATACTGATAACCACTATTATCCTCATTTGGTACAAGTAAGGTATAGTTTTCTGCCAATAAGGATGCATAAGGCATAAATGGATATAAGGTATGATTACTATCATTTGGGGCAATATGAAAGATATTGTGAAATTTCAATTCTGTAGAAAAAGGCGATCCTTCACTTTTATTCGATACATCTGATGAAACTTTAATTGCCACTTTAATCATCTCACTATAAAAGTGAAGAAATGTTTCACTTTCATTTATATCAATTTCTTGATTCGCATCTGTAGCTAAAAGTACTTCTAATCCACATATCTCTCCACTCATCATAAGGCTTGAACTCATCTCATTATTTCCCTCAACTATTATAGAATGTTCTTCTTTTTCTTTTTCCTTCTCATTCTCTGAATTTAAAAGTTTTAATAGTCGCACTACTGTGGGTTCTGTATGTAGAGAAGTAAATTGCAACCAATAGGCCAAAAATAAATTCATTCTACCCCCTGTAGTTTGAAATAATATTATATTCTGAGAACTCCCTTGTGAAGTAGTCTGTGTATTCTCTAGAGTACAATTAAAAGTAAAGGGTTTCATATCCCCTAATAAACCAGAACTCGATGTGAAGAGTAAAAAGTTCTTCACAACATCTCTCTCTTCCACATTATAGAGAATATTATCAATGATTCCTTGTATACGGATAGAATGACCGTTTGAAGTGTTATCCATTTTAATAAAAACATGTTCAGCAAGCATAACAAAACTATCATCCGATTGATCCAAAAGAAGACGAATACTCATTTTTCTCAATGATGCCTCTAGACCTTTATTTGTATTCGTACCCTCATTATTATTATTATTATTATTATTATTATTATTATTACTATTAACGCTAGTAGCAGCTTCTTCACTAGTAGATGGATGGAATGCACTATCCATACCAACAACTTCATTATTGGCACTATGCTCAATGCGCAAATGAGAATTTAATAATAATGAAGATGATGATGATGGTGGTGGATGTAAAGATGAGAATAGAGTTAACACAACTTCAAGACTATCCACTAAAGTAGAAGAAAGCACTATTTGTACTTGACCAATACCAATTAAATTAGCTGCAGAAGATCCTCCACGTGTAACTGTTAAAGACTCCAGCATAAAAACATGTTGACCTGAAGGTGTAGTAACATTCATATCCGGCATTTGCAACATATATCCATAACCACCAACATCAAGAGATACCAATTCCAAAGTTAATGCATCATTAGAGAGAGAACCCTGCTGTTGTTGTTGTTGTTGTTCTTGTTGTAATGATAACGGTATTTGTGTATTTTCATAATTTGTCATTGTTTTTCCTGGCAACTCAATTTCAACAAGATCTTCTTGAGATGTATTTTGAATAGTTGCATGTAAAAAATCAATTTTCACTACTAATCGTTGTAAATATGAATGTTCTGTTAATTGATTATTATTATTATTATTATTATTATTATTATTATTATTCTTGACTACAGGTTTAGAAGTTTCACTGCAGAGTGCTTCTTTAATCAATGCCATTTGATATAAAAGATAGAGATAACTACGACATCGTTCTGCTGGAAATGTTACTAACGTGTTTCCAACAGAAAGAGCGTCATGAGATTCCAAATGCCATTTTCCATCATTCTCTTTAATAATTTGAATAAGAGACTTAGTTACATCTTCAGATGCTATTATTAAACTCTCATAGTAATAATTTATTAGACTAAAAACAAATGGGTTTATGGTTATTTCCACTTGACAACGTACAAATGCAGAGAGTCGATCACCCACTAATATATCCATTTCTAGAGATGAGAAGGAAATAACATTAGTAACTCCATTACAGCAAAGACGAATTGGATTTTGTATACCTGCAGATAAATGCCACTTCACTGCAGAGGATAATGATGACTCCGACTCCATTCCTCTTCTTTCTCTTCTTTCCTCTAAAGTTCCTATATGTATTTCAGGTATATGAAATAGGATTTCATTTGGTTCCACAGTTCTACTTGATACAGGTACAGGTATAGCAAAAATAATTCCAGCAATATTTACATCTACAGATAAAGAACACAATGTGGAAGGAGATGATGATGATGATGATGATGATTGTGGAGTAGATTCATATACAAAAACAGGAATTTTTTTTGTATATAAAGGTAATGCTGTTAACATACTTTGCATTCCATCTATCCACCATCGCATCTCACATAGTGGTTGAAGTGTAATTCGGGTAGTTGCAATAGCAGCACTTATCATGGAATAAGTTTCATTCACACTAATAGAGAGCCACTGTTCACATAAAAGTGGTTGAGATATCATATCTTCTTCACCATTCTGTTCTTCTGGTATTTCTTGTGATTCCAACAATGGTGAAGATAAGTTTCCAGTAAAATTTACATTAGCTCTTTTGATATTTAAAGAGAATCCAACTCTATCATCTCTTGGTTTGGTATTTTTTATATATACACATTCAACACTACTAAAGGAGGCATGAATATGTTGTTTTAGATTTTCAAGATAAGATAAAATTGGTTTCCTTTCCCGTACATCATTCAACCAAATTTGCGGGTAAAAATCCACTTCTACACCTGGAATAAATACTCGAACACTAATAGGCTTTGAAGATGAAGATGAAGATGATGATGACACAGTTGTTGTTGTTGTTGTTGAAATAGAAGAAGGTCCCACTGGACGAATAGCGATATATTGAAGAAATTGATAACCAAATGACCATTCCGCTGCCATCCAACCCATTTCCGTTTCTGAACTCTGAAGTGTTTCTTCCACTATATCCATAGGCGCAGCAGATCGCCAACCAAACCACCACCAACGTCTCGTACTTGTTGTTTGATTATTACTATTAGTACTACTAGAAGTAGAAGTAGATGTAGAAGGTTTCTTTCGCCTAATAGCATCAGCAATATATATTTTCTGTTGAGTCATGGATTGTTTCTCTTTACTAAGTTCTGCATATGCCAAACACCGTAGAAATACAATTTGTTCTAATGTTAATATATCTTCAAGTGAAGCCAATGTTGTCGTTTCTTCTGGTAAGAGTGGTGGAAGCCATGAAACCTTCTGTGCTCTTTTCCAGAGAGCGCAATACTCTCGTCGACGTTTACCGAAATGTACAACACTATCCATAAAGTTATGATGATGCTTATGATGATGATGATGTCCTTTTAATTTATTCTTTGAACGTCTAATATCATCTAGAACACATCGAATAGCAAAATTCCAATAACGTTGAGCACGTCTTGGTGTTACCGATACATTTTCTGTATTATCGTTAAGTAAATGAAGATGTTGTCTGTAGTTTACACCCATTAAACCACCTTGTAAAGAATCATTTAAAACCGCTATCGTTCCTATAGCCCCAAAGGAGAATCGAAGTTTTACAGGATTTGGAGTTGTCACATTTATTATCATAGCATTCCCTGTACTAGTATCATTATTATTATTATTACTATTACTAGAATAATTATTATCACTACTAACAGCAACAGAAGCTCCCTCACCATCAGAAAGACGAATACGTACCGTAATATCATCCATTTCAATAATATTTAATTCTTCTCGCCATTTTGGTATAGTATTACTAATACCAGATAAATTTTCTTTATTCTCTTCTTTCATAGCATGAAGAGATACCCTAAGACTTCTCACAATTGCCTTTTTACAATATGGCATAGATAAATCCATAATAAATCGATCTTCCCATTCTTCATCTGTTGTTGTGATGTAAACATCATCTAGAGTCACAACTAAGGCACAAGCTAAACAAGGTGCAAGACCTTGATAATCAAAAACATACTTTACAGAAACATCACGAAGTACAATGTGAATATTTCGTGTAATAGTTTCAGTAATTTTATCAACATATGAACGACTAGTTCGTGTATTTCCTTCTGACGAAGATGTATGAAAAATACTCATTACCTGTTCACCTTGTCCACGACCATAAAGACGTCTTTCACTTTCAAACATTTGCAATTGTTTCTGTTTAACAACAGACACTCGGGCCGCATCCTCCTCCGCATTATACGGTCTTCCACGCAGAAGACCAAACACAATCTCCACTCCACGAACCTCCACACTTATCGGTTCTCGATCTAATGCGGACCATGGCACACTAATCACTAACTCCTTCACTACTCCTTTTACAACTGTAAAGGGTAATAAAAGAGATTGGGCAGCTGCCTCTGCAACATCAATATTCTCATCTTTTTTAAAACTCTCACTTCCATGTTTTCCTTGAAAAAGTGAAAGGGCAATTTGATCAAGGATGTTGGTACGTAGTTCTAGGTCCCGCAGGACTAAATCACCAGACCAAAGAGAAATACGAAGTTGTTCCTCATTGAGATCACAAATAAATCGGCTAAGGTACGTTGCTAACAAAACAGATAATTGTTTTTCCAGCATTTGCACAGCTGCAATACGTACCAAAACTTTAAACAATCACCCCACAACCCTTTTTTTTGTTCTTTTCTTTTTTTTCTTTCGAATTTTCTTTTTTTTTTACTACTGGCGTTGCTGTTGTTATCGTTTTTCCTTTATTTGAATTCTAATACAAATGCCGAATTGGTCCAATGAAATACAGGCGCAATTGAAGTATGAGGTAAAGAAGGGTTGTTGAAGGTTTAGAATTCCCTAATCAATACGGAAATCCCTTTTACACCTTAACAACCCACTACCAAATGTATTTATGGACCTTCTAGATTAAATAGGGGAAAAAAAGACAAAAAAAATAATTAAAACAATATCCACATCTCTCTCTCTCTCTCTCTCTATATATATATATATATATATATATATAGACAATTAGTCATTCAAGGAAGTTAATTAAGCAGCTCATAAAAAAAACTTTATGGCCCTCCTTCTTCCTCTTCTTCTTCCAAAAATAAAAAAAAAAATAAAGCAAAAAAAAAAGAAAAAGAAACACAACACTAGACTTCTTTTTCCTTCTTAAAAATACATACGTACATACTTTTTTCTTCTTTTCGTTTTTTTATTATACCTTGGCTGCCCTTGCCTCACCACTAAACTTTGAACTTAACACATTTCTAACTCTTTTGCTCAGTCTGTTCTTCATATGTTGTCCAGACATCTGCGGAAAGCAACTGCATAGAGAGAACCTCCTTAAACTTATCAATATTCACAAGACCATTCTCATCAGCTGCCCTATCGATTGCCTGCTCATGTTCAGGTGAAAGAGCCACTTTTCCTCCACCTGCAGCCGTTGCCAGATTTCTGCATGTATTACGAAGTTGATCTAATGTTACCCATTGTTGTTTTGTTACATCAATGAGATAAAACATAGTTTCAAGGTCCTTCTCCTCAAATAACGGAGTAGGTTTCGGTCCCTCTAGCATAAGTTTAACTTCTCGCTGAAGAAAAGCACGTGGGTCTTCCGGTTTATAATATACCAAAAGCTGAAGAAAGATAGAAAAGAGTTCATTTAGTTTGTGTTTCTTCACATAAGCACGGACTTCTTCCATCTGTTTATTATCTTGATATCCCTGCTCCATCCCTGTTCTACCCATATGTATGTTGTTTACTCCAATTCTATAATTAAAAAGTCGATTCAAACAAAAAAAAAAGAGAGGAAAACACCACCATACAGAGAAATATCAAAAAAAGAAAAAAAAAAAAAAAAAACACACTCCTGACTGTGGAAAAAAAACACAAAAAACAACAACAAAATAAGGGGTCCTTCATCATACAAGGGATCTACTCCCCCTCTTCTTTTTCGTCCTCCCTTCATCCAAAATAATAGCATTATACCTCTTTTACTCCACGCATAATCCTTGCTTCTGTAATTTGGTCTCATATTAAGCAAAGTATATATATATATACGTATACTCCGCTAACACAGGACAATCTCACACAGCATGTTAACGACACTATATATCCCTGGAAAATCAAGAGGTTTCTTTTTTTTTTTTCTTTTGGGCTTTTTTTTTATTTTTCGTTCCCTCCACATAAAAGTAATTGCCATACAGTTTAGTCTTCATTTTTTTTTTTTTGGTCGCTACATTATTCCCTTATATTCATTGTTTCCGTATTTCTTGTAATACTGATGAATGTCAGTGGTGATAGTCGATAAAAATATTCTTTGCTCGACATCGGGTTCATTAATGACAATTTTCACTTATTCTATCTACCAAAAAGTCTTTTTTTTCTTCTCTGCGTACCTCAGAGTTACCAGCCAGATTAAGCACGAACATTTTTTTTTTTATCATTCTTTCTCCACACAGAGACATCTATAAACGCATGCCTTGTCTGGAGAACAAAAGGGAGTCATTTGCTCTTTTTTCAATTTTTTTTTTTTTTTACGTTTTGTAGGAGAGTGGATGTTGATTGCAAGGACTAAAAAGAAAAAAAAAAAAGGTGAATGCGTGCGTAATAATACACACCAAGGAATATATACAATATGAGAAAAATGCTTAGGAACGCGTTCGGCGTTGCCTTTCAAGGTTTACAATAGCCGCTGCACGCTCCAATCGTTTTTGATACATTTCTAGACTTAATAAGAGACTCGAAAGCTCTTCTTCTAACAATGCTGAGGGTTCTTCACCATTATCATCTAAAAGATTATATTTCTTTTCTGATGACCTTCTAGCCTCCTTATGGCGTGCAATGTTATGCACAGAAGTTGATGATTCAACTAGTCTATTTGGCACAACAGGTTGAAATTTTGTCTTATTTCGTAATAAAACTGCTGAAGAATTTCGCCGTGGACCATTTCTGTAAGAACCTAAAAAATGGGCAAGTTCCTCATTATCAGATGACATCCGTGGTCCATTGGACACAGAACTCGAACGCCCAATCGGAGTTGCATTGTAAGATGATATACGAGATCCACCATAGCGAGATGGACGTCGAGGGCTCACACGTCGTTGTCGTGCACTCCATACTATGTTTTCCCGCCATTCTGGCAGTCCTTCACTCTGCACATTGTGTGGTACCTGACCGGTTCGTACTGCTCGCCGGATTAATCCAAACGAAGGCAAGTCTTCACTCTCAGACTCTTCACTACGCGTAGGCAACACTGGAGAAATCAAACTCGCAACAGGAGACGGAACACGACGTTTTGATTCCTTTACTTGTGACTGTGGTTGTGTTCCCTCTTTATTAGTGTCTCTAAACGTTCGTGGTGAGTGTCGAAAAGTTGGTCGTTCATCCTTCCCCGCTACATTAGACTTCTCACTAACTCGAATCGGAGAAATTTGCCGCTGCGAAGCGCCTTCTCTAGTGTAATACACGCCATACTCTGGTGTCTGTTTCCTCCCCGCCGTGCTATCTGAAACATTGAAACACGATGGATCGTTTGAACCTTTCCCAGTTCCTCTCTCGGTAGAAGCCTTTGATAATAACGATGTTGAAACTGGAGGTGTCGCATTTTTCCCTACCAACGCGGGAGATCCTGATTGCTCCGCATTACGTGAATTCCGCCACCTAGCAATAGGGGATTCATTGCTTAATCCTCCCGCTTTTTCACTGCCATTTACCGTAACCGAAGGCTTTGAGAGGTTGGAGGGAGCAGGACTTGTGGATACGTCTCCTTTTCGCGCAGGAGAAGAAGTTTCAAGCGTTTTACGAGAATAAGAAGAGACCTTTGACGGTTCCTGACTCTTTGCAGTAGCATCAGTAGTTCGTACACGACCTGCTGCT